CCCCAAAACCCCAAAACCCCAAAACCCCATCATATTTATTCTTTTATTAAGTCTTGATGATTGAAATCTAAATTAATTAAAATAAATATTGACCTTATAAAAACAAAAATGCACAAATTATAGTTGCTGAAATAGTTTGACTCGAACTTGAAATTATGGGTCTTTGCTACTCGCTAATTCAAATTTAATACCGCTTCATAATATAATTGACTATAGAGTGAATTAAATCTCAACATAGAACTAATTAATTTTGCAATGAGGTCAAGCCTATTTAAAATTGAGGAACTCTAAGCGATGAAATATGATGGACAGATAGTCAGAGAATTTATCACAAAAATTACCAAATTACAGGACCCTTAGCATTCAACTCTTAACAACTTTATATCTGCAATTAACAAAGCAGTTGCTATTAAATGCTTAGATTTAGATGCTTAGTAATGGAAAGAACTCTAAGACTATATAATTACAAAAGAGAATTAATACAAGCAAAATCCAAAAGATCAATCTGCATTAAACATTAAGCAAATTTGTATACTATCAAATGCAATTACCAAGGCTCCCAATTTATCTTTAATCTAAAAACCAATCATTTTAGCACTATTTTAGCGTTTAATGTAAGAGGAATTCTATTTGAAAAAAGTTAATTAAATTGACTTGGAGTAAATGACAAGTTTCCTTACCTTTGTCGAATAGAATTTTAAATAATCTATCGATACTGACTAGTGCTGGATGAAGATAGAAAAATTCATTATTAATGAACTTAAAAACGAAGCTTTTCTACCAAGAAATGTATCTAATATTTGTATGAGATTCAGCTAAAACAATAAAGGGACTAAATAATTCTGGTAAGCAATGAATTCTAAGTTTGATGCAATTGATCCAAGGACATCAATAATGGATTTATGTACTGTGCTTTTATCATTTAGCAAAGCAAATTGGTTAAATGAGAAAGCCTTCATTGAAATTGTCCTAAAAAAGTTTGAATATCAATTTATACTTAATCCAGAGTATAAAGTCTCGATTAAAGATATAGCCCAACTTCTCACTACTGCTAAGCACTAAGACATCTAAAATGGTAGATCACTTCTCGAAACTAAATTTTGGGAACTAATGATAAAGCTTTTAAAGGATTCATTCTAAAATGATAAAGATTAAATGAATAAGCAGACATACATGCTAATCCTAAGTAGTATTTGGAAAAATATTGATAGAAAGGCTAATGCATTATTGTACAAGCATTTAGACTAATATTTATACTAAATTGTAGAGTAAATGAAATAGTTACTAGTCAAAGATATATTCACAATTTTGAATGTATACAATAGCTTTGCTCCAGATACTTTAAGTGCTGGTGTTAAAATGATTTTAGTTGAACTTCTAAGAGAGACAATAAACAGTAATTTGAATAATTTCCAACCTATAGATCTTTGTAATGCTTTTGGCCTTTTACAATTTAAAAATGAGGATTAAAAATATATGACAATTGTGATTGACTAGATTATTGCAAAATTTGATTAAATGAAAGAAATCGACATATAATATATCTTAAATACATACAATAAGATTGAGTAATCAAGTATTTCAAATGCTGAACTTGAATAAAATTTTGAGAAGCTGGGTAAACTTTTAAGAGATAGGAATTGCCTTCTTAATTTGAAAACAAGTAGCGATTGATGAAGGAAATTGTTAAGTAATTAAGATTATTTAAATTCTAATTATTGATTTTTAAAAATTCATCTGATTATATAATCTATTGATCATCTTTTACCCAGTAATTTTAAGTCATAACCTTTTTTATTCCCTCCAGAGGCACTTTTATCCTGCCATTCACTTCTTTTCAGCTTAATAGGTCTATTACCCACATATTTGCCTTGCATCTCACGCATCGCCCTAATGAAATCATCCTAGTTAGTTAGTGAAACAAATCCAAAGCCTTTAGACTTTAGTGTTTTCTTATCTCTGATAACCCTAGCCTTGACAAAGCTAGGATACTTTTTAAAGGCATTTGCTAGCACATCATCATTTACCTCATTACCCAAGTCGCCACAGAATACTCTAAAGTCATTTTCTGGCCATTCTTCCAGTGTTGGGTCTTCCCAGACCTTGCCTGCTGCTTTCCTCATGATTTTCTTCTTGCGCTTATTTTGACTGTCAGCTAGAGCAGTCGATGCTGTAGTCTTAGTCGCATTAACACTTGACTTGTCCTTTTTCTCTTCCACTGAAGTTAAATTAGTCAAAGTTTTTTGTTGCAGTTCGAGAGATAAAGACTGAGGAGCATCTAATGAGCCATAGATCAAAGCGTGGTGACTGTCCATTTCTGAAATATTATAATACTTATGTTTATTATAATTCAATTCAAACTGACCATCATTATCTTCCGGGGTTTTGGGGTTTTGGGGTTTTGGGG